TAGAGAGTAATATATATATATATATATATATATATATATATATATATATATATATATATATATATATATATACGATAAAGAAACAGTTTCTGGTGTTATTGGATCTGATGAGTTAATTTAATTTAAGGCATCTCTTGTCCTCAGAGATCCCAACGTTTTGTTTTTTGAGGGGTGGTTACTATTTGCTCATAGCTGGGACCCTAACAGGTGCTACCACTACGGGTCACGATGGACCTGGGAAGAACAGATCTGCACTGAACATCTGTCATAACGAAAGTGATAGTGTAGTGAGTGGCTGGCAATGTTTCATCTGTGAGATAAGGGTTTCATGGTTGATAATGGGCCTCACCACCAAGGCCGCGTAATCGTCTTTGGCTGTACAGTGACGACTGGGAAACACAAGGCCAGATAGGGCCGCAAGACTCCATTATTGGTCTGCTCTGATTCACCAATTAGGTTCACCCTGTAAGAGGCCCAATAGCCATTCTATGTAGATGTTTACAGAAAAAAGAATATGTGGGGAAGAAATCGTTTAAACCTAGACTTGAATAGATTAAGACTGTAATGATCGGTGGGAAACATTCTCTTTAGAGTCGGATCCACAGACCAGTGGTTGGTGGAAAGAAGCTACACGAGTGAAACTTACGTCTCACCAGTGGAATACGAAGGAAATGGGGGTGGGTCGTTACTATGTGCCTACCATGGCGGGTATTAACCGTGAAGATTAGACCTGGTGGAACTAGTCCGAACATTTTCCATAGAAATAGCGATGGACCAGCGAGAGTCATCCGAACTTTCGTCTGCCAAGATGCTTTTGAAATATATCAAGAGTGAAGACCTAAAGGGCGAAAAGCGTCGTACGAAAACTTATTGCTCTCGATATATAACATTTATATATCGTTAACTCCTAGATAGTTAGATAGATAGATAGATACTAACAGAATGAGATAGATAGATAGATAGATAGATAGATAGATACGAACAGAAAGAGATAGATAGATAGATAGATAGATAGATAGATAGATAGATAGATAGATAGAACCAGACGAAGAAAGAAAAAAGAAAGAAAGAAAGACTGGTAGATGAGAGCAGTTACAGTTAACTATTTAGATAGATAGATAGATAGATAGATAGATATTAAGAGACTGAGATAGATAGACAGAAAGATAGAAAGATATGAAGAGATTGATAGATAGATAGATAGATAGATAGATAGTCAGGGAGTCAGTTTCAGAGAGCAGTGGTTCATGGGAAGAAGCTGCTCGAGTGGAACTTACATCTCACCATTGGAATATGAAGGGAATGAAGGTAATTCTTTACTATCTGCGTACCATGGTGGGTCTTAGCCGAGAAGGTTAGACCGGGTGGAACTAAGGAATGTATTTCATCCGAACACTTATATATCGTTAACTCATTGATAGATAGATAGATAGATAGATAGATAGATAGATAGGAAATAATCTGTGATAGATAGGAAAAAAAGTGTGATAGATAGATAGATAGATAGATAGATAGATAGATAGATTGGAAAAACAGTCTATGATAGATAGATAGGAAAACAATCAGTGATAGATAGGAAAACAGTCTTTGCTAGATAGATAGATAGATAGATAGATAGATAGATAGATAGATAGATAGATAGAAAAAACAGTCCATGGTAGTCCGTGATAGATAGGAAAAACAGTCTGTGATAGATAGATAGATAGATAGATAGATAGATAGATAGATAGATAATGAACGGACCGAGATAGATAGATTGATAATTGTCCCAGATAGGTAGATAGATAGATGTGAAGAAATTGGGATAGATAGATAGATAGATAGATAGATAGATAGATAGATAGATTAGATTCCAGTGATCGGAGAAGCGTGCCCTTGGGAGTCGGTTCCACAGAGCAGTGACCCGTGGAAAAAGCTGCTCGAGTGGATTTTACAAGTCTCCAATGGAATATGAAGGGAATGAATGTAATTCTTTACTATCTGCCTACTCTGGCGGGTCTTAGCCGAGAAGGTTAGACCGAGTAGAACTAAGGAATGTATTTTGACCGAACATTTTCCATGGAATTAGCGATAGATCAGCTAGAGTCTTGCGGACTTTCCTCTGCCAAGATGCTTTTGGAATATATCGAGAGTGAAGACCTAAAGGGCGAAACGCGTCCTACGAAAATTATTGTTCTCGATATATAAACATTTATATATCCTTAACTCATAGATAGATAGATATCTTCCTTTTTTCGATCTTTCTTACATTCTTGCCAAATCTCCTTCTTTCGAATATTTCTTTTAATAATAACTTTAAAATAATTCAGCAGACGATGTTATTTTATTTATGGTAACTGGATTTTGGGCGAGTGCCTTAGTCAATTTCCGTTTTTCGATAGTGTGCATCTGAAAAATGGAGCTTTTGACCTGTGAGGCAATGACCAGCTAAAACCAGTCTTGTGCCCGAACCCGAGTAAGCTGCAGCTGCGTAAATTTTGACCATGGTCCAATCGGAAATCCTCGGGTCCCCCACGTTAAACAACTGACTTTGCGTTGCACCCTAAACCCAGTGGGAATGCCAGGTGAATACCCCGATTGTCGGTCGTTTGGCTAGGATCAAAGTGCAGTATCTGTTCTGAGCGTCTTAATCTGATTCTCTCTCTCTCTCTCTCTCTCTCTCTCTCTCTCTCTCTCTCTATTTTCTATTCATTTTCTCGGTGAAACCAGGTAGTGTCTTTCCACCTCTTTCAGCGCGAAATAACGGTAGGGGACGTTAAGCACTTCTATCTTCCTTTTCTCTTTCTTGCTTTTTCTAGCCAAATCTCCTTCTTACGCACATTTCTTTTAATAATATTTTTTTAAATATTTCAGCAGACGATGTTATTTTATTTATGGTAACTAGATTTTGGGTGAGTGCCTTAGTCAGTTTCCGTTTTTCGATACTCTGCGTCTGAAAAATGGAGCTTTTGACCTGTGAGGCAATGACCAGCTAAAACCAGTCTTGTGCCCGAACCCGAGTAAGCTGCAGCTGCGTAAATTTTGACCATAGCCCAATTGGAAGCGCTCGGGTTCTCCACGTTAAATAACTGACTTTGTGTTGCATCCTAAACCCAGTGCGGATGCCAGGTGAGTTCCCCGATTCTCGGTCGTTTGGCTAGGATCAAAGTGTAGTATCTGTGGTAAATTTTTACCAAGCAGCGGTTTTTTTAGTTAAGAAGCTGCTCGAGTGGATTTTACAAGTCACCAATGGAATACGAAGGGAATGAAAGTGGTTCGTTACGGGTCAATGAGAGGCGTGTAATGTTTCGTCAGTTGTTTTAGGGCGGAAGATAATTCATCACCCACAAGGATGCGGAGATGCTTTTGAAATCCAGAGGCGTCTCTGCGTCCTTGTGGGAGATTCTTGTTATGATATTTCATTTATTTATGTTTTTAATCGAGTTCACCCCATGCAAGGCAGTAACGCCACTAAGACACTAGAGGTTACTGGGTGTCGAAGAATTAGAAGCAGAAACACTATTAATGAGCAAGAACAAAAAGACTAATCAGGAACACACCATATATATATATATATATATATATATATATATATATATATATATATAATCGATTTCGCCCCCAGGTAAGGCAATAAAGCCACTAAGACACAAGGAGTTACAGGGCGTGGAAGAATTAATAACAGAAACTTTAATAATGAGCGGGAAGAGGAAAAAATAATCAGAAGGAGAGTAGATAACGATTGACATTGCATTTAAATTTTTGCAGATTAAAATGGGCTGGGAAGCATGGAACTGGAAGGGCGTTCCACAAGCAAGGCAATAAAGCCACTAAGACACAAGGGGTTACAGAGTCTGGAAAGATTAGGAAGAGAAACTTTAATAATGAGAGGGAAGAGTAATCAGGAGGACAGTAGATAGCGACTGACATTGAATTTAATTTTTTCTAAATTAAAATTGGCTGGAAACCATGGAACTGGAAGGGAGTTCCACAAGCGAGAAGTCCTAGAAAAGCAAATTCTTAGCATAGACCCGACGGCTGCATCCTGCCGGCTCAACTGCAAATTGATGAGATCTCGACGTCCGTCTAGTACTGCGCTTAAATTTAAAAAGTCTAGGTACCATAGCAAAAAGCTCAACCGAACAATTACCATCAAAGTATTTATAGACAAGACAGCGAGAGGCAAACTTACGGCGGTGGAAAAGTGAATGAAACTGTGAGGCCAGATCAGGACCTATAACATTGCTGATTCTTCTTTGGATTTTATCAAAGAGTTCTACATATCTAAATTTTAAACTGATTGACGCTAATTTTTGTCCTTTACCAGTCTTCCTTTTCCTGGTAGACATCACACTATCAGCACATTTAATAACTTCCTCTTAATATATATATATATATATATATATATATCAAATGTCAAAATCAATATAGGTAAAATCTTCCTAAATTTAATTAACAAACATTTCAACTATGTCTCATTGCTCAACAAAATCGTAAACATGAACAAAATTAAGATTAGCTACAGCTGCACCAAACACCTGGGGCAGTATATAGTAGAACATAATAATATAACATTAAACAAATATTAAACAACCTCAATAGCAATATTAATACAGATAAAAATGTAATTGTCGAAAAAACAGTACCTGTCTATTAAATCATAAATGTATTAATAAAGGCGTTATTTATAAGGCTAGCATTAAACATAATGGTGAGACTAAATTTTATTTTGGTTCCACAGCAAAACAGTCGAAGACCCGATATTGCCATCATAAAATGACTCTTACAATCATAAAATGACTCTTACCAATAAAAAATATCCAAATATCTTGGCACTCTCAAAATTTTACAGGGAAATCAAAAAAATAACTATACACTGATAGTAAATTAGAAATTCGTCGCCAAAACTGCACACTTTTCCGACTGCAGCGACCGATGTAAACTGTGTTTGCTGGAAAAAAAAGATTCATACTCCAAAATATTAACGACTCCAACCTGCTGCGCAAAACGTCTGAGACCATTATAGCTTGTACCTATAAAAAGCAATGTGATTCTGGATAAATCGTTTTTACCCAACTTGAAGTGCCAATTAAATATTTTAGGTTAAAGACTTATTTAACCATTTAAGCGTCTATTAATACGTAATGGTTTACACGGCGTTCCTCTTTAAATATTTAAAAAAAAAAATTCTCGCCTTTTACCTCTGTCTACCTACACGTTTTATTTTTTTAATTTATATCCTAATATTATTATACTTAGCTTTATATACTCTGCAGTGTTACCACCATGAAAAATAGAGATTATTTATCAAGAATATACAATCCACTGTGTCTACCCCCTTCTTTTCATTCCGTTTGCTTCGTCCTTACGCTTTATAATTTCTCAAGTTAAATCTTGCTTCCCCGCAACGGAAAAAAAATCATGTATCATATAAACTTTAAGCTTGCATTAAATTTTTTTTTGCTTCGTTTTTCCTAATATCTCACTCCATACATTTTAAATTTACACCCCAATAATATATTGGATTTATATTAACTTTGTGCTTTGAAACTGAGTATAATTTAGCGTTCCTCCCATGAGAGCCAGTATTTTTTTTTACAAAAACAAAATCAAAAAACAACTGTAATAAACGGTTCAATCACCATATGTACCTGACGACTTGGGAAACCATGAAACATGAAGTTGCACTACAAACGAAGGTATATGTGTATTTATTAATATAGATTTCATAGCTTTGTTTAGCTACATTGAGCACTGTTTTGTATGCACTATAAATTAAATAAAATAAACATTTATTTGCTTATCTGCATATGCGCGCTATCACACGCATATACAGTTGCTAATACCTCGTTATTTAGTTTACCTTCACACTTCGGAATTACAATTCAGGATGGAAAGCTCATGAAGGATTAAAATAAAGTTCATATATATATATATATATATATATATATATATATTATTCTAGGATCATTTTCCATCTTATTCAATTTGATCTTCGCCCTCTCTAACCTTTTAACTTTCTGCCCTGGAGTAAGAAGATGCCTCACACGTTTCCCATACGATTACATTCTCAAGTCTTTTTTCACTGCTCTTTGAACTGTCATAGGTGAAACTCCTCTCTCACGTGCCAAACGTATTGTAAAATGAGTTGGATCTTTTCTAATTGATCGCTTTAACTTGAAATGATGATCCCGCTTCCTGCTCTAACCTCGTGATCATGTTTTCCTTTCTACTGTTCCCGCTTTTTTAAACTTATTCACCGTGTGACGTCTCCCCGCCGTCGCCGTCCTATCCTGTCCTGTGACGACCAATGCGACTTGGTATTGGTCGCGGTACCAAATGTGACGTTCTAATCTTTTGCTGATTCGGATGGGAATCTGGTTCGATTCGGTATTAGCCTTGTCGTTCCCAGCTCGCCTCCAACGTTTGGTTACCGAAGTTACTGCTTTGATTTCTAGTCTAACCTACCCACGTTGTGATTTGATCTTAGGTAGACGAAATCAATCAATCGCCGGGCCGTAATGCAAGTCAAGTCCGAACAAGGGTAATACCGCACAAGTATACGTAAAAGAAAATAAAGTAATAACTCGAAAAGTTCAAATGTGTTAACAAGGAATAACCATATTTTATATCTGGTTGCTGAATACAGGATTGCGTCTTCCTCCCAAACCGCTATATGGATTCGTGACACTTTGTGTTTGTTAGGCGAGTCTTAACATCTTAAGTTGTTTGTTCTTTAAGAAACTGGTTCTTGGTGCATCTTCAGGCGATATTCGTAAAACTTATTTTGGTGGTGTGAGTATAAGTCGTTCTTCAAAAATAAATTGTTCTTGGTTAGAAGTTGAGGTCGAGAATGCGTGGATCTCAGTCAGCTTTCTGCGAGGCGGATCTCACTCTGCAACTCCAAATCCAACCCAACTGCAAACTCAACTGCCGTCCACTCGCTGCGAATCTGCTTATATGGACGCCGACCAAAACCGGGGTGGGCCTGTCGGGGTTTGAGGTTCCTTGATAATTCTAAATCCGCATTAAGAATTTTCTTTGTTTTTGGTCAGGAAAACCCATCACTTTCCATTTTTGGAAATCTTTTACTTTCTACTTTAAGGGAATGGGCCTCCCAATTTCTTCCTTTCTCATATGGGTATCTCACCCAATCCCTTCAGGGGGCGTCAACAGGCCTTCCTTCCTTCTTCATGGTTTACCTTCGCCTACCACTCACGTCACCCTTCAGTCAATGAACGCTCAGCGGCGTAGGTGCTTGCTAATTATCGCTCGAAGAAAAAAATAATTATCTTCTTTCCCTTTTTTTTTTCTTTTCTTTCTCTCTCTTCCCCGAGCAGGACCTCACACAATATTTAATCTCTATCTTAACCGAATCCCATCTGGAGTTCGCCAATCGAGAATTTTTCGATAAAATAGGGATTTTTTTTATCATGGCCAGCTCTTGACATGAAACAGGGGCCTTTTCCAAACGACATCTCCGCAGATAGCTAATGGCCCAGTCTTTCTTTCTTTGTAACT